CTGTAGATCTGCTTGTTTTTGCTATTCTGTTTGTTTCAACTTCTTGTTGAAAAAAGCTAATTTTTACACTTGCTCATTTGTGCTATTTATGCTCCAGTTATTTTAGCTCTTAGCTTTTAGCTGTTTTCTGTTTTTTACAACTAGTTTTTTCTGCAAAGTTAGGCTTTTTCTTACTTCTTTCAGCTTTTCAAAGTAAGCTCACATTAACACCTTTGCTGTTAAATATTTTCAGATCAATTTCATATACGTTCAGCCTAAGTTTTCAGCATGGAGCATTCATAGCATTTTTGCAGGAAATGCAACTTTTCTAGTTTAAAACTGCTTTAATGATTTTTGAAGTATCAAAACAGTTGCCCAAAACTTTTTAACCAGACTATAATTAAAGCATTTTGTAGGTATTTTCCAAATGTAACAATAGATGTTGAATAATGAGTAAATACGGTTTGGGAATTTCTGATTTTACAGACCTATATGTGTTACAAATAAAGTTGATTTTACATCCAATTTAGCCACACTTAGCTAACTGAACACAAAGGAAATTATCAAATTAATAAATTAATGTCACTTATTAAATTGCTACAGATTCATTAGCTTAAATATAATGGCATATATTTGTAATAATAATAAAAAAGAACAAGGTTTTGTAGGATTTATGTTTCTTACACGGTGCTTCAGACTGTGAGAAACCTAACCAAGTTGGCAAACAGAGATTTTCTCGGGCCTGTTATGTCGAACAGGCTGGTTAGTGAGGCAGACTTTGATACGACCGATTCCTCAGTTCAGAGGAAGCTTGTTTAGCACCTAGTGGCTGCTGTGACTGATCTGCCACCTCTGCCTCGCAGCCAGTCACTAACAGACAAGCCGGTGACAAAGCAAAGAGACTGACTGCAGCAGGTGTGTCACTCAACTCGCAGATGCTCCGCCCACTCTTATAAAGCAGAACATTCAAAATCAGCATCATATGATRGCTTTAACTGACCTGGAGGGCTCCAGATGATTTCAAAGCAAGCGACCGCATTCCTCACCCTCGCTTTAAGTATTCTTTTGTAAAAAATAAAAACAGTGTATGATGCTCACACCAAAAACAGCACAGAAACACAATATTTTCCCTTTGAACTTACTTACCTGATGGGCTTGACTTGAGGGGGGGCATCTCGCCTGTATTTCCTGTTCATCAGCTCAGTGTAGGTCATCAGGACTAAAACCTTCTGGCTCGTGTAGTGTTTTGACCACTCCATCTTGTCAAAGGCAAATTTCTGAAGCGAGACAACCAAAAAATGGACTACATGTAGCTCGTTGAAATAAATCAATAAAATTATTTACTTCACCTGCATCAGCAACAAGTTCGGCTGTCTTTTCTTGAAATGTGACACCGGCTCATCCCTGGGAACCAGAAACTCACGAATGATCTGCAATACRAAGTTCAAGCATTTAGAAAACTTGATTATAAATAGTAAAAACTAAAGAATAAAAGAAGGCAAGTATGTATGTACCTCTGTAAAAGGGAACTGTTCACTTGCCAGTGTTTTTCTGAAAACGAAATGAATCACTATGAGAACACTTTTATGCAACGACRGTTAGGTTTAAAAAAAAAATACAAGATTTAAAATCATGTTTGAGTCCTCGTGACATCAAATATTCAACTTCAACATTGAAGCACATGAAGTTCTGAACTAGAAAGCTAGAAAAACAATCCTAAATTCAGAGTTTTGTGACATTTCTGGTTTCTCTTGACATTTTTCCCTTTTTTCATATAAATRAAATCAATGAACATGAACTGAAAGAAACCTTTAACCAAAAGATGATCCAGTTTAATACCTGACGGACTTTGCTGACTTCAWGCTCTCATTTTGCATGCTTCTCTTTACATTTCACTTCTGTGTTAGGTCTCTTTGATTTACWTTCATCTTATGTCACCAGACTGGATCAGTTCATTGATAAACAAAATATTTTGAGCAAAGATCAATATGGTTTAAGAGCTAATAATTCAACATCAATGGCTCTCATGGACTTCATTGAACGCACAATAACTGCTGTGGATGAAAAACAATACTGTGTCAGTGTTTTTGTTGATTTAAAAAAAAGCATTTGATACCATGGACCACAGTATCTTTCTAGAGAAATTAAACAAATATGGTATAAGAGGTCCAGCACTACAGTGGGTATCAAGTTATTTAACCAATATGAAACAATTTGTACAAATTAATGATGTAAGATCTGAACTTTGTAATATTGTATGTGGGGTTCCACAGGGTTCTATATTGGGACTGAAGTTGTTTCTCCTATATATTAATGACTTGGTAAATGTATCAGGGTTGTTTAAATGTGTTTTATTTTCAGACAATGGCACTTTTTTTTTGCTTGGGTAAAAACATAGAACAGATGATGGCAATTATGGAAATGGAATTTATAAAAGCACAAAATTGTTTTAATCATAATAAATTATCATTAAATTTGGATAAAACAAATTACATGATATTTAGTAATAGAAAGAAAACAACTGATGTTCCATTTAGAGTAGATGGTGTTGAGATCTGTAGAGTAAATGAGGTGAAGTTTTTGGGAGTCATCATTGATGAAAAACTGACATGGAGACCTCATATAAATTACTTAAGAACAAAAATGGCAAAATCTATTGCAGTACTGTATAAAATAAGGGAGTTATTTAATGATAAAGCACTATTTACACTATATAATTTATTGTGTAGAAGTCTGGGGAAATGCATGTAAAATCATTACTAATCCTATTTTCATCCATCCATCCATTTTCTGTACACGCTTCTTCCTTTTCAGGGTTGCGTGGGTCACTGGTGCCCATATCCAGCAGTCACAGTGTGAGGGGCGGGGTACACCCTGGACAGGTCGCAAGTCCATCACAGGGACACACAGAGACAAACCAGACAAACAACCATTCACTCTCTCATTCACACCTAGGGACAATTTAGAGTTATCAATTAACCTAACAGTCATGCTTTTGGTCTGTGGGAGGAAGCCGGAGTACCCGGAGAGAACCCACGCATGCACGGAGAGAACATGCAAACTCTACCCCTCTAATCCTATTTTTACTTTACAAAAAAGAGCCATAAGAATTATCACAAGAAACATTACTCTCACTCTTCTAATATATTGTTTCATCAATTAAAATTGTTAAAATTTCACAAGTTGGTTGATTATAACATTCTGCAGGTTATGTATAAGGCTCATAGAAATGTGTTGCCGTCAAACATCCAATCTAATTTTGTTAAGAGGGAAAGCTGCTATAATTTGAAGGGATTACAAATGTTTGTTAAACCAAAGATCATAAAAAATTTGAAGGACAGATGCACTTCAGTAAAAGGTATAAGACTGTGGAATAATCTGGAAAATGACTACAAAAAAGAGCGCACCTCTTGACGTTTGCCTCCAGGGACGAGGCCCGGCGGGTCCGTTCGTAGCGGTGCCAGTCGCAGGGACATGAATAATCAAAGTCCTGGGGTTGACAGAATCGGTGGCTGTCACAGAACGCGCAGCCGCCACGCTCGTGTGCCTTGGCTGGGCCTAAAAATCAGGAATCGGTGTCTCGCATTTTGAAACCTCTCACACACACGTGTGTATTGCTGGGCACCACTCACCAGGATGGCGACAGATGTTGCAATGAGGAACTTTCTTTACCACACGGAGGTCATCTGTGTCCGCCATCTTCCACTGGTTAAACCTTTAGCAGGTGGGAAAAGCTTCCATGAGCACATATTTACCCTTACTAGAAGATTTCTGTATTTAGAGACTAGTTTYTCTACCTCTCCAGAAGCGATTGCCCTTTCAGTGTCTCTATAAGCCTCAACGCTTGCTCTTTGCCTACACCTGGTACACCCTAACGTAAACAAGAAAATGTAGAGTTAAACTGTAAAACACTGCAGATTCTCTTATGAACCTACCTACCTTAGGGATGTAATCACAGCCAAGCAGAATGGCTAAACCAACCAGATTCTCTCTGGACAGATGGAGCTCGGTTTGCACTCGTGAAGTCTGGTAGCAGTCCACCTGAGGGTCCTGGATGGAAGAAAAACAAAACAACAGGCAAGTTATCTTAGGATTATTTCATTCATTAAAATAAACAAAACAAAAACATGTGAGAAAAAATAAAAATACACCAAACACTGAATGAAAAGGGTGCAGCAGGGTTATTATAGTTAACTAAAACTAACTAAATAACAAAAACTGAAATTGAAAAAATATTTTAGTTAACTGAAATAAATGAAAACTGTAATAAAATGAAAAAACGATACCTAACTAAAACTAATCTTTTTACAAAACTAACTAAAACTAACTGAAATTATAGATAGAATATCCTTATTTTAGTGTTTGTCAGTTCATTTTGAGACATGATCTTTTTTTTTTTAAATCGAATAGTTTTAATTAGCTGTGGTTTGTAACAACACTTGTTTACAGTCTGCTGCTAAATGACGACAACAAAAGTTGGGAGAAAGCAACAACGTCCACTTTGGGATTTCTTTGAATATAAAAGCAAGTGTCTTGTAGTGGAAACAGGTGATAAAACAGGTGGAAAACTTCTCAAGGGAAAAACTGCATGAATCAAACTCATACAAGATGCTAACTATGACTGTCTTGACATGTTAGCTTCTCTCAGTAGCTCCTGTGAAAAACAATCAACARGTAGCACCRAGTTGGAGACAACTATTGTCATTGTCTTAAAATAATCACCCAAGTCCTTAGTTGGCAAAATTGAGTTACGCAATTATTTTAGGAAGGTGTTGCTATAATGGAGGCTTTAACTAGTGACCAAATAGCTGCAGGTTAGTTAACTCACAGGAACATCACAAGCTTGAGGATGCATTGGCAAATAAACTATATAAAAAAACTAATACTAGAACTAATCAAAACTAAACTAAACTAAAACTAAGCATTAAAAATGCAATAATAACTAATGAAAACTAGCAAACCCACTGTAAAAACTAATTAAAACAAACTGAATTAAAAGAAAAAAGTCTAAATGAAATAAAATTAAACTATAATGAAAAATCCAAAACTATTATAACCTTCATGTTTCTTTGGATAGTGAACTGCCTCCATCGTACCTTGCTGTTCATATTAAAGTTCCTGTACACTGTCCGGGCTCCATATAAAAACGCATCCCCATCGTTGGTGATGCAGCCGTCCACTAGACCCACAGAGTCCAGGTAAGCACACATGGCCTCTGCCTCCCCGGCAGCTGTCACCCAGGGCACACCCAGGTAGTCAAACATCTCTGCACACTAAAAAAAAAAGATGGGGATAAATGAGTTTGTTATTACAACTTTTTAATCAGAGTTGTAATGTAACTAAGTACAAATACTTTGTTACTATACTTAAGTAGAAATTTTGGTTATCTGTACTTTGCTTGAGTAATTATTTTTCAGACTATTTTCTACTTCTGCTCCTACATTTTTTTAAAAAATGTAAGAAGTAGAAAGTTGTTTCTCTTATTTCATTTTGGCTTTTTATTGTTAAAAAATACTATCCTGTAAAATTGTTGCTCCTGAATAGAGTGAATTTAATTGTGGTTGAATGAGAAGTATAAATATATACCATTCTGATAATGTATTTAGTTTGTATACAATTAATCAAAGCTGCACACCTTTAGAAAAAAACATTTTTTGAAGAGGTCACCTCCCAATAAATGTATTTTTGGAAAATCTAACCGTTCATTCTAACTCAGTACTTTTACTTTTATTACTTAATTACATTTATGTCAAAATAAATCAGATACTTTAAGACTTTCACTCAAGTAATATTCTTAGAGGAGACTTTAACATTCGCCAAAGTAATTTTATGATAAGATACTTGTACTTTTACTCAAGTATCACTTTCAGGTACTTTATAGGACACTGTTTTTAATCAGGCAGAAAAATCAAAAGAGACAAACCTCTTTGAGGACGGCGTTAAAGCGCCCCCTGCTGGTGCTTCTGGTAGAACCTCCATATCTTGTTTCCGTCCTCTTGCTCATTGTTTCTGCTTTGAGCTTGGGAGCTTCTCCTTCCATGACAAAAACAAGCTTAATCCCCATCCGTGTGAGGGACGACACGCGGAAAAATAAGTTCCTGAATACACAGAACATCATGTCCTGATGCATCTCAGTAATCCAGGTAAAAAATCAGAACATCATGGCAACAGTGAGGGTAAAACAAATTCAACCTCAGCCGGAGCAGACAAAGAGAGCACATTTCAAAAATAACATGTTAGCGTGATTACCTCAAGTGGGGCTTCTTGACCCTCCCCATCATARCCTGGACATGCTGAGCTTCGCACACCCATAAACTCAGGTCAACAGCCAATGTTTTTCCGCTCAAACTAAACAACGGAACCGACTCACGAACAGGCTCGAGGATAGACCATAAATCGTGAACACCCATGATTACCGCAGCTTTGTGGCTTGGAAGTAACAATTAGAAACAAATGCCGAAACAGCAGGGAGTGAGTTGACGTCGCAAAACAAAATTTGAACGAATCGAGCTTCAAATATGGCGCCGTTTAGGCTGCGTTCCAATTCGTTAAGGGCTTCTCTACACCGCTTCCTTTGCTGCTGYATTGAATGAAACTGCGTTAAAGCTGAATATATAAATGCATTTTATTTCGTATAGATAGCTGTGATGTTAARTACTCCGTACGCATTTTCGCTTAGTATGATTTTTGATACAATAAAGTTACAACAGAGGGAGGACAGTCGCAAAATCGTTCAAAACCCAAAGTTTCAGAATACGTCATAATAAAGCGCCTTCACAATCTCGTTCCTATGGATACGAGACTTTTATTTACGGATAGACTCAACTATGGGCTCAAAAACACAGCTAGAAATTGTTGGCTTAATCAAAGACTCTAATTTTCACGTTGCTAAAAGTATTGCTGAGGTAAATATATATATAATTTCACCACATAAATTATGTTTTTTTCTTCTATTTACACTTTTATAGCGATTATGTCGCCTTGCAGGGACTACAGCAAAACTTTCCCGAGGAATTTCTGGATCCCAAATTTCTGCCACTTTTTGAATTTGATTGGCATGAATATCTGTGTAAGAAAAAACAGGTAGGTTGATCCTAAAATTATTTGAGAAAGGGTGTTGAGGTGAATGGTGTTTTTATTATTATTATTATTATTA